TTTTGTTTTTTTTTTTTTTTTTTTTTTGTTTTTTGTTTTGTTTGTTGTTTTTTTTTTTTTTGTGTTTTTTTTGTTTTTTTTTTTTTTGTGTGTGTTTGTTTGTGTTTTGTTGTTTTTTTTTTTTTTTTGTTTTGTTTTTTTTTTTTTTTTTGTTGTTTTTTTTTGTTTGTTTTTTTTTTTTGTTTTTTTTTTTTGTTTTGTGTGTTTTTTTTTTTTTTTTTGGTGTTTTGTTTGTTTTTTGTTGTTGTTTTTGTTGGTGTGTTTTTGTTTGTTTGTTGTTTGTGTTAGTTTTTTTTGTGGATTTGTTGGTGTGTGGTGTGTGTGTTGTGTTTTGGTTGTTTGGTTGGTGTTTGTGTTTGTTTGTGGGTTGTGTTGGTTTTTGTGTTTTTTTTGGGTTGTGTGTGAGTGGTTTGGGGTGGTTGTTGTTTTGTGGTGGTGTTTTGTTTTTGTTGTGTGTTGTTTGTGTGTGTGTTGTTGTTGGTTGTTTGTGTGGTTTGTGATGGTTTTGGTGTTGTGTGGTTGGTGTGTGGTGTGGGTTGGGGTGTTGTTTTTTGTGTTGTTTGTGTGTTTGTATGGTGGTGGGGGGGGTGTTGTTTTTTTTTTTTTTTTTTTTTTTTTTTTTGTTTTTTTTTTTTTTTTCCCCCCACATCTCGACCGTGGAGAAGCAGCGGCTCTACTCATCCCCCCTGACTGCCACCTTAACGTGGTGGGGGAGTTTGAGAGAGACATTTAACAATCTCAGTTTGTGTGTGTGTACTTTTTATTTCTTTGCCAGTGATTACATTTGCTAAACGTTCCTCTTGCTCCGACTTAAATTTCTTGATAGAACCAGACCGGATTACTTTACTATCGCATTTTTCGCCATTGCCAACAACCAATAGAGGGATCCTAAGGTCACGTGACTAGCAGCCACGGCAGCCATACTGGAGGACAACCTCGGCGAGTAACAGCCGTGCTAGCTATCTATAACTGGACGTTCAAAACTAGAACTCTCTCGAACTACATGAAAACTGAACAGAGAATTTGAAACTTCAGCAGTTAGTGACCATCCAGGTACATCCAGGTTTACCGCGGTCGCATATTGTCGCATTAAAACAGCGTTTTTTCATGAAAACGTGAACAGAAAATTCTGAAAACCTCTGTGCACCTGTATTTGTATAATGTATTCTCCGATTAACATTTAATGTGTTTATTGTTACACCATGGATCTATGTGTGGCTACACTGCAGTGGAAATAATGAGATTACATTCAAATCAATGGAACTTTCTGCGTCTACTGTGAGGAGCCGTATATTTTATTAATAAATACTAGTACGGGGCCCCCCGCGAGCACGGCTCAGTCGTTCACATGTCTGCTGGCCTTCGGTAAGTCAGATACCCTGTGAACCGGGTGAGGTCCTGTGTGAGACCAAATATATAATAGCTATGCTACAAGCTAAGCTACAGTCTATGGAGCAACCCCACGTTGCAGTCAGACAGATATGTTTTATCCTTAAACTTCTGTTTGTTTCGGAATAACACTAAATCCGCCATCAAATTGATTTTACTCAGCAGAAATGAAATGATCCGAGCATATTCGGGCGCTCTGGGGGCTATTAGTTTTTTGTTGTTGCGTATGGTTGTGCCATTTTTCTCTCATTTCTTTGAGATGTCTTCTGTTTTTGAGCCGTGTGAAGTAAGGACGGCTGGCAGTCGGTAACACAACTTATTTTCTCTGTCTCTCCTTTTGCTGCAGCCAAAAACTGCAACAATGTTGAACATGTTTATGCGGTCCCGGGTGCACGCCACTATCATACAGCGTTTGCTTGTCCTCCAGTATGGCGGATGCCCCGCGAGTTCGAGGCATCGTGACGTCACGTGAGATATCTCTATAGATCTATGACTACAACCTGCCCGTTCGGCGCAAACTCTTGACGTCACCCACAACTAACTACAACACCCGCCTCCCGCGATCGCTGATTGGTCGGATGGAATTCAACCGATTGTAATCGCTAACAGTGTACGGATGGCTATGGCCAGGCTACGCCATGACTAGTATGCAGAGTAAACAAAAGGTTGGGAACCGATATCACGAACAACACACATTAGATTATACATACATTATACATTTTGTAGAGGAAGGAGAAACCAGACATGAAGAAAACATGCGAATTTCACAGAATATTGTCCTTCTCTTGCTTTTTCTCGATTCGCTGACAGTAACCCTTTCCTCTCTCAAAGCAGTTAACCTGCTTAGATAATTACTCCCCATCTTTAGTGCGTATCCATTCGGCCCTTGCGTTGGCCCCTGTCCTCGGGGATGTGCCGCTGCTCCGTGTCTAAAGCACATCAGCACTCGTGGGCTCTAATGCGTCCGAAACAGCAGGTCGTTAGCAGGATCATCACATAGTGGCCACTCATCATCTTCTGCCCTTCTAACGAGCCCCATCCATTAAAACATCGACCGTCTCTCCCCGGCACCGCGGCCAACGCCAAATCTGATGGATATTTATCGGAGAATTATGAAGTCAGGACACAACCCAAATCATGGCATTTACAAAGGCTCTGCAATAAAGGAGGACTTAGTAATTGTTGTTTCATTATTTCCTTTTTGTTGTTATTCCTTCATCTAATACAAATTCAAGGCCTTTTTTACAAAAAGTTCTACTTGAAGCATACACAGATCATAACGATTTTGATCTAGTTTTTAAAAAATCTGGTAATTCTGTTGGTTCTGATCCTGTTTTGTCTCCATTTTTTTAAAATATCTCCAAGATGCATTTTGTTATCAGATTAGTCGGGAAATCTGAAAATGTTAAATTTGAGCAATAATTAGTTTTAAAAGAGTCTGAATTTAAAACACGTGACTTCTTAAGCTACATATAGGGTCTGGGAGGTTGTCTGTATAATAAAAAGTTTTCAAAGTTGTTCTGTCAAATCAAATTAATTTCTAATGTGTATACTTTATCAATCAGTTTTTGCCTTTTTAGGGTACAATTGGTCAAAATGTCATAATTCAAAACATAACAAGGCAACAATTATAATGCAAAGGAAAAGATTACATAAATATGAAAATAACAACACAAAAAAAGATTGAAAAAAAAGTACATATATAACAAAGAATGACAGTACAACAGTCAAAGCCGTTGCCAAAAGCCTGTGAAAAAAAGGATTCCCAGATGTGGCCAGTGTTGATGTTGCATTTATTGTCAAAAAATACCAGGGATAAAAGAATTGTTCATGGCCCGAAATGTGTCTCTGTCCATTTTGAGTCACCCAAACAACAATATGATGCATTATATGTCTTTTTATCTTCCAAATCAAACCTCTTGGAACAAAATCCTGAATCCTGGAAACATCTAGAAAAGTTGTTGCTTTGTCATTTGTACTTGGCCTCTTCCATCTGCAGCACCGTGCCCAGCTTAGACGTTTGTACACACTATTTATTTTCTATTAAGATTGGAATGGGAGTTACGAGTACAGTATGATGGTAAGAAGCCCAGTTAAAGGGGTGCAGTGTGCTCTGAATGTTTCCCACATAAAAGTCATTAAAGCTGCAGTCTGGCTCAGGACCAAGGACAGAGGCGGAGACGAGCTGCTGCTCTTTAATACCACAATCATGCAGTGTCCTTTTGAATCTGTGCCACAACCGTCAACAATAGTATTTATGCTGTAGATAGATTTGAACTGCTGAGGGGTTTGCCCCATTGATGTGAAATATATTTTGTTAATTCATTATTGGTGAAATTTGGTGTCATCTTTGCCTTGATTAGATGTTGTGTGACTTCTGAAGGTATTGGAAAAGTTAAACCCTGGTGTATTCAAAGTTGCTCTGTGGAATAGAATGTAATTTATATAGACAGCACAATTACAAAAGCCGCAGCAAATAAACATGTTGGGAAGAAATTGGATGAGAAATGTGTTTAAAAAAAAGAAATCGGGAAACAAATTTAAAAACATGAACATACAGGGACTTGGAGGGACTCAGCTGGTCTGGGAAGGCCTCAGGATTCCCCCAGATGAGCTGGGGGAAGTGTGTGTAGATAGAGGGATTGATATATATATGAGAGCGACAGCAACAAACTGCAAAACAATAGTAATGGCAACGGATACACTTGAAAGATCATGTAACGCACAGAAATACGCATACATGTATGACAGAAATAGTTATTTTGGGATGTTACGCATTTTATAGTTTCCAATGTAATCCAGAAATGGCTGCCATGTTTCGCTAAATTTTGTAATTGAGCCCAATAACGTACATCTCATCTTCTCAATATGCAAAATGCTCATAAGATCATTTATCCAGTGTTCATGTGTGGGTGGGTCCTCCTTTTTCCACCTCAAAAGAATAAGGCGCCGGACCATCAAAGTTGCAAAAGCTATTGCATGAGAGCACAGTTTAGAAACAATGTTGTGAGGTAACACGCCAAAGCGTGCAGTTAATGCATCAGGGGCGAGCTTAACTTTATACGCCTCTGAAAGCATGTGGAATATTGATGTCCAGTAACTAGTCAAATTGGGACATTGGGAATGTATGTATAAGTGTGCCGGTTTCGGATTTACAACGAATTTACAATTTTACTAACTTGTCTTTGGAGATATGTAGACGATGAATGACCTTGAATTGAAGAAGGCCATGTCTTGCACAGATTGAGGAGGAATGTACTTTCTGTAGCATCGCCTCCCAGAGATCATCCGATATGGCCAATGATAGATCCTGTTCCCAATATGATCTTATTATTGCAAGAGATGGTGATTGCATCTGTAATATAGTTGTATAAATGTCTTTGATAGCACCTTTTTTGTGAACATTAACATCTAAAATGTCATCCAGAGTGGTTGTGTTTGGCATATTTGGAAAGGAGGGGTATTTACTGTTTATGAAATGGCGAACTTGTAGATATCTAAAAAAATGCGTCCGTGGAATACTATATATTTCAGTTAACTGTACAAATGAAGCAAAAATCCCATTGACCGGTACCCCGGCTTTAACCATGTTTCTCTGTGTGTGTGTGCAGAGTGTAATGACTGGGGGGAGTCGAGCGACGGCGCGGTGCAGATTCTGGACGGTCAGTCTGGGTTTCTGTCCTGTCCGCTCTTCTCTCATCCCTCTGTCTACAACTACTCCTCCTCCCAGAACACAGGACACAACCTGTTCTGGTTCCGGGTCCAAGAGGGAGACATCGAACAGCCCATCACCTACAGGTAGGAGTGAAGATTGAGGCAAGGCAAGTTTTTTTTTTGTATAGCACAGATCATACACAAGCGATCGCAGAGAGATAAGAGTACACTGCAAAAAGTGAGGAAAAATATGTCAAAAAATGGCTCAAATTTGGCAAAATGTGTCTTAATTCAAGCACATTTTGACTGCCTTAAAATAAGAATTAGGTTAATCGATTTTCTATTTGTCCCACAGTGGGGAAATTTCAGTGTTGCATCACTGGTTTCAGAACAGTAGGAATGAGGATAAAACCACACAAGATAAATGAACAGTAACTATACTAACATAAAATAAAATCTCTAAATTTGGCAAATGAAAAAGCAAGAATTAAGTTCGAGGCAGGTGCTTTGAGAATTGGGTGGTAGCTCTGACTGCCTCCCCCCTGACCCGAGAATGGGTTAAGGGGAAGAACATGGATGGATGGATGATATCTCTGACTTTAGCATAATCAAGAAGTAAGTATAAAATCTCTGACTTGCTAATGGAACAAGCAAAATTATCCTGTTTTAAAGAAATGTCTCTTGTTCTATTGGCAAATCTTGTTTTAAGACAATCAAAATGTACTCAAATAAAAGAAAAAAAACACTTGATCAAAGCATTTATTACCTCCTCATATACAGTGCCTTGCGAAAGTAATCGGCCCCCATGAACCTTTCAACATTTCGCCACATTTCAGGCTTCAAACATAAAGATATAAAACATGTATTTTTTGTCAAGAATCAACAACAAGTGGGACTCAATCGTGAAGTGGAACAAAATTTATTGGATAATTTAAACTTTTTTAACAAATAAAAAACTGAAAAGTGGGGCGTGCAATATACTTTGTAGCGCCACATTTTCTGCAATTACAGCTGCAAGTCGCTTGGGGTATGTCTCTATCAGTTTTGAACATGGAGAGACTGGAATTCTTGCCCATTCTTCCTTGCAAAACAGCTCGAGCTCAGTGAGGTTGGATGGAGAGCGTTTGTGAACAGCAGTCTTCAGCTCTTTCCTCAGATTCTCGATTGGATTCAGGTCTGGACTTTGACTTGGCCATTCTAACACCTGGACACGTCTATTTGTGAACCATTCCATTGTAGATTTGGCTTTATGTTTTGGATCATTGTCCTGTTGGAAGATAAATCTCCGTCCCAGTCTCAGGTCTTTTGCAGACTCCAACAGGTTTTCTTCCAGAATGGTCCTGTATTTGGCTCCATCCATCTTCCCATCAATTTTAGCCATCTTCCCTGTCCCTGCTGAAGAAAAGCAGGCCCAAAGCATGATGCTGCCACCACCATGTTTGACAGTGGGGATGGTGTGTTCAGGGTGATGAGCTGTGTTGCTTTTACGCCAAACATATCGTTTTGCATTGTGGCCAAAAAGTTCGATTTTGGTTTCATCTGAGCAGAGCACCTTCTTCCACATGTTTGGTGTGTCTCCCAGGTGGCTTGTGGCAAACTTTAAACCAGACTTTTTATGGATATCTTTGAGAAATGGCTTTCTTCTTGCCACTCTTCCATAAAGGCCAGATTTGTGCAGTGCACAACTGATTGTTGTCCTATGGACAGACTCTCGCACCTCAGCTGTAGTTATCTGCAGTTCATCCAGAGTGATCATGGGCCTCTTGGCTGCATCTCTGATCAGTCTTCTCCTTGTTTGAGATGATAGTTTGGAGGGACGGCCGGGTCTTGGTAGATTTGCAGTGGTCTGATACTCCTTCCATTTCAATATAATTGCTTGCACAGTGCTCCTTGAGATGTTTAAAGCTTGGGAAATCTTTTTGTATCCAAATCCGGCTTCAAACTTCTCCACAACAGTATCTGGGACCTGCCTGGTGTGTTCCTTTGTCTTCATGGTTCTCTCTGTGCTTTAAACAGAACCCTGAGACTATCAAAGAGCAGGTGCATTTATACGGAGACTTGATTACACACAGGTGCATTCTATTTATCATCATTAGTCATTTAGGACAACATTGGATCATTCAAAGATCCTCACTGAACTTCTGGAGTGAGTTTGCTGCACTGAAAGTAAAGGGGCCGAATAATATTGCACGCCCCACTTTTCAGTTTTTTATTTGTTAAAAAAGTTAAAATGATCCAATAATTTTCGTTCCACTTCACGATTGTGTCCCACTTGTTGTTGATTCATGACAAAAAATTAAAATTGTATATCTTTATGCTTGAAGCCTGAAATGTGGCAAAATGTTGAAAGGTTCAAGGGGGCCAAATACTTTCGCAAGGCACTGTATCACTTCTTGCATCTGTATACATATGTGTGGCTCCCAGGCTAATATTCACTTGTGATATTTAGTTTGGTGTTTAATACAAAGACAATAGAGATGGACAGTCCTGGGTCTGGGCTGGAGCCGCTTGTTGAGTCCACAGACAGAGAGCCCTCAGAGAGAGTGACCCCTGGTTATTAAGCAGCTGCGATGTCACACAGCATCACAAGTATTGATCGGTCAACTCACAATTAACATATGAATGAGACGGTGACCTACCAGAGAGGAGAGGCATACTGATAACCAGTGATGGGAATAAACGGCGTTACTAGTAACGGCGTTACTAACGCCGTTACTTTTTTCAGTAACGAGTAATCTAACTAATTACTTTGACAGTAACTATAACGCCGTTATCATTTCCGACATCCCGTTACTGCGCGTTACTCAAGACGCACCATGAACGTGTTGTCATGAGAGAAGGGAGGATGAGAAAACCTCTCAGCAGTTATTGGCTGATGTAAAACATATTTCCTTTACAATCTACATGTCTACAGTTGAGAGGATGGCTCATAAATTGTGTTTTTGAAACAAATATGGGTCTTAATCGCGCTCAACCACGGCTTGTATCACCGTGAGGTCAGCCACAGAGGAGCGCATGTGAGCGCAGAAGTCGGCTGCATACAATTCCATCGATAAGCTCCTTGCTCTTCCTGGTTTATCTGCTAAGGACAGCAACAGGTTTGGCTAACATACATATAACACATTTTTACATAATCTAAAATGCACATAGGGTAATTTTTCAATGACTATAGGAATGATAAGAAAGAGAGGTGAAGTGTAAGACGGTTGATTTTAGAAATTGGATGCACCCGGCTGCCGCTAGCAAAACACAGGAGTTTATGGAGGACACACGCGTTTTGTTTAACTTTTTAAAACTCATTGGACTCATTTCCAAATGGAGGATTACATATCTACGCTCAAACCATTAACTGGATTTAAACAAGGAACTGGTCTGAACCGAAGTGGACTGTGCAGGTCATTTATAAGGTATAGCTATAAGGTAAGACCCATAACTCATAGTTTTGCGTTTTGTATGAAAAAACAATGCGGGCATAAAACATATTTTGCTGTAGCCAAACAAATTGTCCACTTGATTTATATGATATATATGTTCATCTGATTGGTCTGAAGTCAGTGCTTCACCGGTGTTTCCACATTCACGGTGGCGGGTGTTGGTGTTTACAGCACAGAGAGAGATGAAGAGTGAACAGGACTTCAGCAGCAAACAGCCTTTTCTAGATGGAAATATTGGCACTGTTAAAGGTAAAAATGCGCACGTCGGGTGCACATTATGTTCCAGAACAAAACGAAAAAGTAACGCAATAGTTACTTTTACTGGTAACTAGTTACTTTTATAGTGGAGTAACTCCGTTAGTAACTCAGTTACTTTTTGGGAGAAGTAACTAGTAACTATAACTAATTACTTTTTCAAAGTAACGTGCCCAACACTGGTGATAACAAGAAGCCAGGACTCTTTGAAACGCAACCAGAAACAAAACAAGCAACCTAAGTATTTGACAATTTTTAGAGCCTGCAAAATATATTACACAGTCAGGACATTTCTTATGGATCCAAGTCGATGAAGAGGTTTTAAGCTACAACACAATGACTATCTATACAATCTATACAATGACTAGACAAGGCTAGACTATGTTGTGCCCATCGGAAGTTGTCGAAACAAACCGTCCATCACCCTAAGTATTTGGCCAATTGTTAAGTTACTTTTTAATTAACCAGATAATTACACATTGAGATGGGAATCTAACATGAAACAGCTTGGTGTGGGCTATATTTGTTTTTTTTTGTTTGTATTTCCAATATATGCACTGTTACATGCCTATTGTGTTTATTATATATCAGAATTGTATTAAGAATTTTGAATGCCTTATTTTTATTGGATTTTTTCTACCTTTAGCTAAAAAAAAATCCTAATTCCTGTTACTTACAAAGGCAATAAAATAATTCTGATTCCGATTTTGGTCTTGTTTTAAGCATTCGATTATTTAGGATCGGGGTGTATTCATTTTGTATAGGGACATTTTTCAGTCTGATTTTATCCTTTATTATTTATCACCTTGCAAGACACACTGGTTTAGTATAGAAGCTTGTTGATGAGTGCTTAGTTCTATTTTTTGCACTTTACTTTTTAGCCAGAACCTTGTTTATTGTCAACACTGTCATTCATCAATATCTTAAATGAAACAGAATGAAATAAATCCAGGAGGGTTTAGATTGGTCTGAGATGTACTGGTCTGTAAACTGCCTGTGGATGTAAATTGAAGTGATTTGGAGGAAACAGATGAAGCGGTGTGTAATGATTTCCACTGCTGCGGCTCCATTAGTGTCACTCAGTCAGTTTATACGCGTCTCTAATGGACTGACCGTAATTTAACCTCTTCTTTTCTCTCGGACCGATGTGGTTTTGTTTCTGTTACAGCACGAGGCTGAGCAAAGACAGAGACAGACTGTGGCTGCAGCCGGCGAACGCATCCGACACGGGGCAATACATCTGCATGTTACGGTATGGACAAGTACTCACACACTATGAAGTATGAATGTGTTGGATGAATTTTGTGTGTTGGTCAGAGTCAAGTAATGGGGCGACAGTAGCTCAGTTGGTAGAGCATTGGCCTTAAGGCTAGAAGGTCGTGGGTTCAATTCCCACCTCTGCACCTTCTCCACCGACTCCCACTGATGACTGCTGTCGTTGTGTCCTTGGGCAAGACACTTAACCCCACTTTGCCCAAAGCCCCCACTGAAAGATCAAGGCTATGCTCACACTCAGAGAGCAGCCGTCCTCCTGTGGACTCACCACCTGCAGAGGGTCAGTGAGGGGCTGGTGCTATGAGACTTGGGTGGCATCTCTGACTGCCACCCCCCTGACCCAGAAATGGATTAAAGGGTAGAAAATGGATGGATGGATGGTCAGAGTCAAGGTTATTCAATTATAATGGATTCAAATAGAACAATAAATAGTTATTCTTTCTCAAAAGTTAATCAAGTTAACTTTTCTCTTGTATCGTCATGTTTAAAATGTATAAACTTGAAAACAGAGAAAAAACCGCACAGCTACAGTATGTTGCTTCCCAGTGTTTTAATTTACAGACCACAAAGTTAAGTTTCGGGCTGAGGCCTTTCATCAGACATTAATTCCCAGACACACCTGGTTGTAATTTTAAAGTCCAAGCTGTCATGTGAGGAATACCCATCCATCCATCCATTTTCTTCCGCTTTATCCGTTGCCGGGTCGCGGGGGCAGCAGTCTAAGCAGAGACGCCCAGACTTCCCTATCCACACACATTTCCTCCAGCTCGTCCGGGGGGACCCCAAGGCGTTCCCAGGCCAGCTGAGAGACATAGTCCCTCCAGCGTGTCCTGGGTCTTCCCCGGAGCCTCCTCCCGAATGAATACCATTTAGAAGAATTACAAATGTGCACATCAATGTAGAAAGATAGATAGATAAATAGATGCTTTATTGATGCCGAAATTCAGGTGTCCAGTAGCAGCAGAAACACATGCATCCATAAAAACAAAATTAATAAATGATATTTCAGTAGCTTACGATAGTATTAAAATGCAACAGCACTTTAGGTCACAGCAGCAGACGTGGTGTAGCCGCTTGGTTCATGTACATCCACATACTGTACATGCACATACCCACCTATATACATGTATTTATGTATAGAAATATAGACACAATATACACACACACATGCCTACATCTATAAACATAACTGTAATATCATCAGGGTCAACATGTCATAGAGTACAATATACAGTATGTGTGTCAAGAAATGTTTATATTAAGTGGTGTGTGTCAAAAAAGAGTTTACATTGATGGAAAACATTGGGCGCAGAGATTATTTTGTAAATTTCTCCAGTATGAGATCAAAAAGCGTGTCTTATCCTAACATTCTAATTTATAAACTCACACAGGACCTTATTTTGACCATGAAGCCCACAAAGTAAACTCATTTATCTATGCAGAGTTAATTTAGAATTCTTATTTATTATTGAGTATGTTGTGAGACCAAATGAAACCACTTCTGAATAACTTTGGAACTATCTTAATCGTTGCAAAGCCAGAGTGTGCGGATGTGTGCATTATACCATTTCCTTTGCTGTTGCTGTCCCTGTGAGCCAAGAGCATAAAAGGGTCTCAAATGCTTACTGGAATCGTTGTGGTGGATTTTCTCTGTCAAGCTGTGGTGAGATCGCATCATCCTGTTTTCCGGCTCTCGATGCTTCCTCGAGCATTAATCTACTTAAGTGGCTTTAGACCGACCGCTGCTGTGGACTTCCATGTGTCGTTCACTGGCTCATCACCGATAACACTCAGGAGTAGTTCAGCGAGAATAACCTTTTGCAATTAACTAATAGTAATAGTATATATATATTTTTTTTACCATGATCCAGGGCAACATACTGAGGGAATCATACTGAGATATAGTTTTTATCAGTCCAAAATGTGTAAAATATGGTCAGACAACTACACACCCCTCCATGTTAATTTTAAATGAAACTGGAATATGCAAATTAGCTCAACACTAATCAAACATGCCCACAATGTATGTTGCACTGATTTATATTGTATAATAAATGTTCAAAGAAACTTGTAAGATAAAAGCAAAGGTTACTTTTCATGAATAGTTGCAGTGTGATTGGAGGGGAAAAGAAATAAGTCTTCAGAATTCAGGTTCAGGGATCTGGTGGAGCTGACGTATGTCCTGCAGTGATGGAGATTTAACCTGTTTTTCACATCCAGGATTTCTTAATTATTTTACTATGTTGTTCTGGAAACTTACTGTTAAAATCTACTTCATTTTCAGTACAAAAATCAGGTAATTTGTCTGGACTAGGGAAAATATTGGTAATATTCGTACTCATGGTACGATGACGGGATCTCTGAGCCTGGCCTCCTCCATCTGCACCTGCGGACTGCCCTGCCCGACCCGCCTGGGAGTGCTTCGGTCCTGCACCGGACCTGTCCACGTTCAGCGGCCACTGGTCCACGTTCTGTAGCTAGCTTAGGTCCTAGATCATTAGCCTGTCCGTCCGGAGGAGCGGATCCCTTTCTCATATGGGTCTCCCTCCCTGTGGGTTTCCCTAGTTCTCCTCCAAGGTTTCTCACTTTCTCCCACTGGGTTTTTTAAGAGTTTTTCCTTGTCGATGCAGGAGGGTCTTGTTGGACAGTTAGTGTCCAACAGAAAGGATTGGTGATGATCAGGACACTTTAACATTCTACAACATGTATGGACATTTTCTTCTGTGTGTGCTTTATATTTTTCATGTGTTTTAACTGTTGATTCTCTGACCTGTGTTGGTGATTTCAATGGTTTTGTTAAGTCCTCTGAGATGACTTCTGTTGTGACCTAGGGCTATACAAGAATAAATTGTATTGTATTGTATTGTGTATATTGCAATGAAAAACACATACAGTACATATCATGCAAAAATAAAATTATAATGTTTGATTTCTTGAGACTTTACTGTTTGGAAAATGTAGTTTATCTAAATTTTTTTGTTAATTTTTTTTAGATTTAAAGTAAAGTCATCTTTCTGTTCTTTTGCTAGTTTTTGCTTTTGCTTAAAATGTCAATATTGTCTTATATTTATATGGAAATTTACTGCAATGATAAAGAATGAATCAGATGGCTTTATTATAAATACAGTAAAAATCCACATTATCAACAAATGAGAAAGCATGTGTTGCATGTGTGGTATTTAGGAAACATAACATAACACGAATCTGATTGGAAAATGAATACTTTTTCAAATGTAATGTTAACTGAGCAGTGACAAAACCTACGATGTAAAATATGATGGATGCTAAGGTTTTGGAGATTATATTATTACAAAACTGTTTCTGTTCTGGGCAGCTGTACAACTAGAAAGTAATAAGTGCAGTAGCTTCTTGTTGAGGTAAAGCCCAGTGCGGAGCCAAATGTAATACTTTAATATCACTCCGGGTGGCACGGTGGCTGAGTGGATAGCACTCTCGCCTCTCAGCAAGAAGGTCCTGGGTTCGAATCCCGGTTGGACCAGGGCCTTTCTGAGTGGAGTTTGCATGTTCTCCCCGTGTCTGCGTAGGTTTCCTCCGGGTGCTCCGGTTTCCCCTACCACTAAAAATATGTACAATAGGTCTGGCATGTGCCTCGGGTACTGGCGACCCCGCTTCCAAAAATAACAATTGTAAACCGCTTTGAGACTCCGATGTGCAGTGAAAAGGCGGTATATAAATAAAGATTACTACTACTAATTACTAATCTATGAATTACAACACGTGAATGTTATTAAGCCATATAATGCTAGCTCATATCTTACATTACGAAGATGTTGAGCAGTTCACAATGTAGAAATGTCTTTACTGCATTAGACATTTGGTTCCTACTGTATTGCATTTGCTGAATTCTTGTTTTGTGAATTTAAAGGTAAAAAAGTGTGAGTGTTTGCAGTTTTTTGGTCGGATCAGAGATGGAGAAATGCAGATTGGCCCAACGCAAAGACAGACTGAACTTCCTGTGTGGTCACGTGTCCCGCCTCCTTCCTGTTTCAGGGTTTGTTGTGTCCCACGGAAATACAACCAACTCAGAGCTCAGATGTAGATCAGCAGTACAATAATAGAATATAAAATACTGTAGGAAATGCTAACCCCAGGTGTGAGACATGTTGGACCTTCTGTTACTCTCAGGTCTTACAGTGAGGGAAGGATGCAGCGTGTGCAGTGAAGCAGTCAGAGCTGTGTCAGACTGTTGTGGTGAAGAGGGAGCAGCGTCTATAGTCAGAGCTGTGTCAGACTGTTGTGGTGAAGAGGGAGCAGCGTCTTTTGTCAGAGCTGTATCAGACTGTTGTGGTGAAGAGGGAGCAGCATCTGCAGTCAAAGCTGTGTCAGACTGTTGTGGTGAAGCGGGAGCAGCGTCTACAGTCAGAGCTGTGTCAGACTGTTGTGGTGAAGAGGGAGCAGCGTCTTTTGTCAGAGCTGTATCAGACTGTTGTGGTGAAGAGGGAGCAGCGTCTGCAGTCAGAGCTGTTTCAGACGGTTGTGGTGAAGAGGGAGCAGCGTCTGCAGTCAGCTGTTTCAGACGGTTGTGGTGAAGGAACAGCGTCTCTAGTCAGAGCTGTATCAGACTGTTGTGGTGAAGAGGGAGCAGCGTCTATAGTCAGAGCTGTGTCAGACTGTTGTGGTGAAGAGGGAGCATCGTCTGCAGTCAGAGCTGTTCCAGACGGTTGTGGTGAAGAAGGAACAGCGTCTATAGTCAGAGCTGTTTCAGACTGTTGTGGTGAAGAAGGAACAGCGTCTATAGTCAGAGCTGTATCAGACTGTTGTGGTGAAGAAGGAACAGCGTCTATAGTCAAAGCTGTATCAGGCTGTTGTGGTGAAGAGGGAGCAGCGTCTATAGTCAGAGCTGTATCAGACTGTTGTGGTGAAGAGGGAGCAGCGTCTATAGTCAAAGCTGTATCAGACTGTTGTGGTGAAGAGGAAGCAGCGTCTATAGTCAGAGCTGTATCAGGCTGTTGTGGTGAAGAGGGAGCAGCGTCTATAGTCAGAGCTGTATCAGGCTGTTGTGGTGAAGAGGGAGCAGCGTCTATAGTCAGAGCTGTTTCAGACTGTTGTGGTGAAGAGGAAGCAGCGTCTATAGTCAGAGCTGTTTCAGACTGTTGTGGTGAAGAGGGAGCAGCGTCTATAGTCAGAGCTGTTTCAGACTGTTGTGGTGAAGAGGGAGCAGCATCTATAGTCAGAGCTGTTTCAGACTGTTGTGGTGAAGAGGGAGCAGCTTCTATAGTCTGAGCTGTATCAGACTGTTGTGGTGAAGAGGGAGCAGCTTCTATAGTCTGAGCTGTATCAGACTGTTGTGGTGAAGAGGGAGCAGCTTCTATAGTCTGAGCTGTATCAGACTGTTGTCTGAGCACAGTCTGCGTTCTTGAAATCAATCAATGAAATTTTAAATTTGTAGAGCACCTTTCATACACAGGGCAATACAAAGCGCTTCACAGTCCACTTCACAGTCCACTTCACCCAAGGCACCAATCATCACACCATAATAAAACAAATACCAGAATCACAATTAAAACATCAAACTAACGCACAAAATTAAAACCATAAAACGTTTAAAATGACTCAAGGAATTAAGAAGAATAAATAAATAAATAACCATGGTGCATTACATACTACAAATACATTTCCTCTGCAGAGTGGCCTGGCGCTCCCTTATAGAGATGGGAAATGGGAGAAGCTCAGAGTAGAGTCACTTCTCCTCAACATCCAAGAAGAGCCAGTTGAGATGGCTTAAGCATCTGTTTGGGATGTCCCCTGAACTCTTCCTGTCCCTTAGCTGGACTGGGAACGCCTTGGGAACGTAAATAGAAATGTGGACTGTTGCTACAGCAATGAGCAATTGCAGTAATACAAAATGTTATATCTTTCAAAAGGGGAAAAAGGTCCAAATGCGACATGACACGGCAGGTTTTGGTTTCCTTTTTTGCTTCTGTAGGGAGGTTCATGAAGGTACTCTCTCGATATTTTTTCCCCTCAGCAAGATTTTTATTCTAATCCTAATCCTAATTCTAACATGAACCAAATTCACCTAATTATGCATTGAACAAAATCTCCAGTGAATCCTATGAAAAGACCACAACAGTTTTTAACAACTCGTCTGCTTCAAATATAATAAAGTCCATTGTCTTTCCCACTTCACCACAGTAAACAAACTCTATATGAACCTGTTTACGTTTGCAGGAAGAACACGTCATGCTGTAAAATCGCGATGCGCCTCACCGTCCTGCGCGCTGAAGACGTTCCCCGGGAAAACCGCTGTGCTCCTGCCGTTGCCATGACGCCGACCCCGGAGGAGATCCCGTTTCAGCAAGGGAAGCTCCTGGTCTGTCCTGGCGCTCTCGAGGCCTCCAAGATGGCCGACAGCCCCCCCACAGTGACCTGGACCTTTCTGGGACGAAACAGCAAGGTTCAAATTTATAATGATGGTTTAAAGCTGGGGTACTTAAATTCTTTCAAACCAATTTTTTTTTTAACAATGTAAGACAATCCATTTAACTTAGTTCCTCACTCTCAAAACAGTTAGAGACTCGAACTGACAAAAAAATGGGTGTTATTAGAATTGTATATTGAATTCTGACTCTACATAAATTACACATGACTCTGAGGACAATATTTTCAATGTGGTTAGGATTTGGCGCTTAGACCCCAACAGAGAATGAGATTATCAGATGGAATCCCCGGGGCCTAGATTCTGGTGGTGGGAGCTTAGGAGAAGGATGAAAGAGCTGGCCGAGAACGAGGCGGAGATGGGGAGGAGGAGGCTGCTTGGATGGAGCTTGGTCCTCATATGCAGCTGATGCGGGGACAGTGTTTCATTGCTACAGGTGAGGATTTGCGTGTGTCGCTGCAGCTGAGTGTGATTGACTGATGCTGTTGCCGTGAAGCAGCAGTGGGAGGACTGAAAGTGGGAGGACTTAAAGTTGGAGGACCTGGATTCTTGTCTGAATCCCCGCTTTATCTTCATATCAACTTTTTCAGAAAAAAAAGTGAAAAGGAGAGGACTACCTTCAGCCAATCAAATCTCAGCCCAAAGCTTCAATTAGTGACTCAAAGGGCTCTTTCTAATACGATAAAGAAATGACGTTTTGATCTGATTTGTTCACCTCTTTTCACTCCGTCTGTTGAGAAATTGTTTTATTTACCAAAGTTTATGCAACTGACATACATGCATGTTGATAAAGATTATTTATTATACAATTAATCAATTCAGGTTGTTTTTTTTCCCCAGTTAAGAGTCATGATAAAATACAATTTCATGAACAAACCAGACTACAACATGCTACTTGTAGTGGGCGGCACGGTGGCTGAGTGGATAGCACTCTCGCCTCTCAGCAAGAAGGTCCTGGGTTCGAATCCCGGTCGGACCAGGGCCTTTCTGAGTGGAGTTTGCATGTTCTCCCTGTGTCTGCGTAGGTTTCCTCCGGGTACTCTGGTTTCCCCTACCACTAAAAATATGTCCAATAGTTCTAGCATGCGCCTCCTGTACTGGTGTGGAGTGAGAGACTAATGCCCAAAATTAACAATTGTAAACCGCTTTGAGACTCAGATCTGAAGTGAAAAGGCGGTATATAAATAAAGATTACTTACTACTACTACTACTATGTCACTATCTGGATTATTGGGCTTTGAGCTGAGTGAGGGTGGTCCTCTCTTTCTAATCTTTGTGTCTGAAAAAGCAGATCTAAAATGTGACAAACCCAGTGATATAAGCCAACTTTGGGTTTGATGGATTTTATTACATTGTTAAATTAGTTGTAAGTTTGAGTAACCATAAAAGTGACTTATTTAGGGTTTTTAACGCTAAGATATTGTAAAACTCTCTCTGATATTGCATATTGTAAGTAAAGTTACACACACATTCTTATTGAGAGGGAAAATCATTTGCTACCATAACCTCTTTTACAATCTTTCGCCTTTGTTATGGTGGCAGAAAGATCCACTGTAAAACTTGCTTTATGTGTCTGAACGATTGACTGCATTGATTTCAGAATCCCACAGAGAGCTGCCAACAGTGACTTATTAGTCCAGGCTTTCTCTTCCACCCATTCAAGTTTAAACCTTTCACAAATGTCCAGTCTTTTTACATTGGAAACATGCATATTAAACTTCAATACAGTCAAACATATGGGATCATGAAATAATTGATTATTATAATGTTTGATATATAATTATTATAATTTTTGATTATTAGAAAATTATATGAAAAAAATGTCCTTCAGTATGACGTCACGTAGGCTTCTTGAATTGTCCTTTTAAATCATACATAAGACATTTTACATTAAACTAATACATATTGCATTTCATGTTTTAGAATGTGAAATAATTGATTACAAATAAAATGCTTAGATAATCATGTGTAAAAAATTTTAAAATGATTTCTGCATGTAATTTCCCACCTCTACCACCAGAGGGAGATGGCATGGAGTCAATTATCGGTTTCTGTTCACAACCTGATCATTGCCATAGTTACGGAGGGGAAAACCATGAAGTTAATTGCAGTCCACAGTGATGTTGTCTTTTGGAGCTAGCTACAGGCTGTGTTTGGCTAATATTGAAATACGTAGTGTGCCGTAAAGAACATTTGTTATAACCCCTCCGTAACTATGGAAATGATCACGTTGTAAATAGGTGTATGTAATAGAAAATGCGATTTGAGTGTGCGTTTGTTTTATCCAGATCTTTTATATCTTTACACACCTTTTTTTCAGATCTTTATGATTTTTAACCAAACAAACTATTCAAATATTTTTTAACATGTTATGCAAAAGGACATATTCTCAAGGTCATATGTATGGGTAAAAATATCTTGACATTTCAGACATTTCTTATATAGAGCAATATAGAAATATTATTATGTATTGAACATTCAAATTAGGGATGCACTGATGTATTGGCCGATGTTTCAGCATATAAAAATGGCATCAGACGATGGTAGGCGCGTGCAAAGAGATACCGTTAGAGGGCGTCCGCGCACTTTCCTCAGTAAAACAAAATAAATAGATGACGGCGGTCCTGTGGCTTATTTTACAGAATCAGAAAAAGATCAGCTTTTGCAGTTTGCAATACGTGTCCCAGTGAGATTTCAAGACGGGGGACTATTAGAAAATCATGTAACACAACGAATCTCATCGGACATTTGAGAAGAAAGCATTAGGCAAGATGAAGAATAACGGAAAACTGAAGCCATCAAGAATAAATTATATATAAATAACAAAAAGAAAAATCATCAGCCAAACATAGGCCAAGTTGTTATGTTGATATTGGTATCGGCCTAAAATGTCACAATCGGTGAATCCCTAGGTCAAAAATCACAACACCTTTCAAATGAAAAATTGGAGAATATATACAAAAAGTGAAAGAGCTATTTTTACCCGTCCCTAATGCTAATGTAATGATGCCCACTTCCTCATATTTCTTCACACGATGTATTGCTTAAATTGAACTGCAGACTGAAGGTCAGAGGATTGTATGTTGTAAACAGAGACTGATGATGTGTGAAATTCACTCTGCATAGTTGTACCTCGCAAAATCTCCCCTTGACATCTTTAAAATTCAACCTTGATTTTCCGATAGACAAGCAGGCTACCCATTTTTGTGTCGTGAATCTGTAGACGGCAAAGAATAAGTGTAGCTATGGCAGGTTTTTAACATAGTCTAATTTCAACTTTTCTGGTGGACTGATACAGTACCTGTTTTAAATGTTTATTTTAGTTTTGTTCCAATAAAGCCATTGTTCGAGAAGAAAATGTCAACAAAATTATGAAAATGTTTAGAAAGTGGAGCTGACATCCAGAACAGATTTGACGTTCACCCAAAACGTTCAAAGGTTTTATGACAAATTAAGGATTGTCTTAAGTAATCAAATATATCAAATCATATTTACTATTTGCATCAGAGGAGCTTCGGCCCAAATACCTGGTTGGCATGTAATATATATGATAATAATAATAATAATAATAATAATAATACATTATACTTATATAGTGCTTTTTGGACAGTCTAAGACACTTTACAAACGGACACATAAATAAAAAACAAAAATAAAAAGTTGATATTTTATTACACTAAGTAAATATTCTCAAATAACTAAATATCTATGGTACTGTATAATAATTGGTGTTAAAGGACACATATGTAAAATCAACTTTTTTATGCTTTTAACCATGTTGCCCTCAACAAAAAGTTGTTTTCAGATCCATCCACGCTCATATCAGAAACTTCTGGCACAAACATGTCTCAATCCTGTCCCACTAAGCCATCACACTGAGACCTGTTTTTATACCCTTTAAAACCCATGTACTGATTCTGAATTGAGTTTGGCTGTTTTTTTCTTCTTTACAATTGTATAGCTGTGTTTGCAGCTGGTAATTATTGAATTAGAAAACAATGAAAATGAATGCAAATAAACTTCCCCTCTGCCGGGAGAAGGGACAATATTTCACATTCTACAACTTGAAATGACAGTGAATAGTCTCATTATCTTTTTGCCCAATAATATTTCTTCTTTGATGATTGAGACATGCACGTTCTGTCGTCAGGACTGTCGGCAGTTCCCGCTGACCTCCCCCGAGCGGCAGCTGAAGGGTCCGTCCCTGCAGGTTCACATCATGAACAAGTTTTTCCAGGGTCTTTACTTCTGCTCCGTGCAATATCAGCGCAAAGGACGAACACTCAACTTCACCAGAGCCATAAACGTCTCTGCAGTCAGTAAGCTAACTTTCATTTTTTTACTCTCTTAGCTAAATGTAGTATCATTTGAATGGGGGGAAGGTCCTCAAACGTTGCATGGAACTCATGAATGACTAACTTTACAGCTTTGAATTCATGCAACATTTGGAGGAGCTTTTCCAGATTCAAAATATGATATGATTTTTGATTGATGTTCATTTTTCATCACTTTGAAACATGATGAATACCAGTGGGGGCGGGTCCCGGCTCAAAAGTGGCCAAAATGATGTGCGCTGACATGCTTGCAATACCACCCCGGGCCGATGGGGGTGGACCCAGAAGTAGAATTAGCCAATGCTAACATATAGCGTTGGCAGACCTCTCAAAAATGTCTTTACAGGATGGACCAAAAGTTGGCTCTTGGCCCGAAGCTCCGTTCCACATGTGTGTCAATGCTGAGGGGGGTGGATTGTTTTGGACCACTCTAGTTTACTTGCTGTGAATTTTTTAAGTCTCTCGTTCAAATGAATGGAGATCTCGCCGGCTGACGCATGCGCAGATGCATTTTTTCACCATTTTCTTGTGGGCGGGACCACTCGCGGACATTTTGGATTGCTCCAGTAGAGCACATTTTTTGGCCCATTAGTTAGAACGGCGGAGATAGGTGTGACTCTGTCCGTTAATATATACAGTCTATGATGAATACACAACCATTCAAATCTACTCTCTGCAATATACTATACAGATATTACCAATAAATCTCTAAAAACATGAGTTCCAACACAGTGGATAGAATGTCAACGTTTTGTTCATCTTTATTTGTATCATTTATGCAGATTTGTGTGTGTGTGCTGTGTTAAATCTGAAATATTAGCAAAAAGGTACACTGTATAATGTGTTTTATCTTCATGGTACCATATTGTAATCTGAATTGCAGAGTCGCTAAGGTAATGATTTTGTAGTCAGTCCACATATATTCACTTCTTGCCTCTGGTTTTCTTCTGTCTTTCAGCTTCACCAAATCTGCCTAAATTCCCAAAGATTTTGCAGCCGACCAAAGATTATGTTTTCAGTCTCAAACAAGGTATTCAATGTGTGTCACCTGCACTCAATAATCTCATTATTTCTGTTGCAAATGGTTTTGATGGTCCAATAGTCCAATGTACGATTGTTCAATGGATCAAAGGTTCATTGGTGTTTACTGTTCAATTAAATTCAATGTATTCTTCTAGAGCCCACAACATTCGTTTTCTCGGAGGACTTTACAAAACAGTTGAATTCTCCAACACAGATCAGGGAATCAAACAGTTAAAGATAGAAAACACATTGGTATTGGTCCATAAGGGGCAGAAGACCAATGTCCATGAATGTTACGATACAAATATCTTACGGAAATTTCATAGATCTGAGGGTATAAAACCAAAATGTTGGATGGCAGCAGTTTGTGTCCTAATGAAACACCATCACATTGCGTTCTGTCTTTGGGCCTCAGTTGAAAATAGCAGCCATGGTTTAGGAAGACTGTAAATGTATTATGTTGAGAACTATGAGGTTACTAATGTAAGGTAGATGACTTGGTTAACTGACTTTTTACCGTAAGATTTATGATTTTGTTCAGAAAAATGCACCCAAGTGGATTGGTCCTATTTCTTACGGATCATTCAGGTATAAGTCATGACTAAATGTCCACAGATGACAAGTGAATAACTCAGATTTCATGCGATCATAAATATTATTCTGGAGTTTGACAACAAGCTGCTTCTCAGTAGATCAGACCTCTGTGAACGAGCAGCTCCTGTGGGGAGTCCCAGTCAGTGTAAATCAAGTCATTTTCCAGATTGTCCTTTTGGTTTCTGTGTCAAACCGATGTTCCCCTAGTGCCTGTTCCTGCAGAGGCTCATTTCTGAATGAAAATTGGATTTCTGTGAGAGCACCATTGCACAGGAGGCTGAACATTTCCTAAGTTAATCGCGCGGTCTGCATTAGAGCCGGGCGCTCGTAAAGCCGCGGTATCAGACCTGGTTTTACGGCCTGTAACTGTTTGATGAATGGCTCTGACACAGTCCCAGGCCATACTCTTAGTTTTAGCTGTGACAGCAAGTTTTATCAGCACCGATTTAAGACCCAAATATGATTCATTTGCTTTTATTCAGAATGAAGCAGCCACAAATCTAATGAAGACGCAGCTTGGGCCAAAGATGCACAGAATACAAGCAAGCGCCAATACATCTAAACTGGATTCCTCTTGACAAAATGCATGTCAGTATCATCTAGATCCAAAGGAGGTTGTACAACATTGTGAAGATAAATTGAAGGCCGTTCCTTTTGACTAGTCTTCAATTTCCAGGAGTTGTATTAGACTGGTTAAGAAAGCTGGATGTTTTAGGAATATGATGATTATTATAACAGGGCTGTTATAACTATTAATATATTGTAGTAATTACAGACTTTGTTATTGCTAAAAAAAGACATGCAAGGCAATCACATTAGATTTTTGTGTTAAAGAAGAAATATTATGGATAATTTTTGTATTTTACAAATGATAACTATCCATATTCTTCCTCCTTTTATGTTTTACAATGTGAAATAATATAATTGGTAGAAAAGATATGACAAAACAAATAACAAGGGTAAATAATGCCCGACTTGCCCTATCCCTAAGAGGGAGGTGTTTTTTTGTTTTTAGAAATTTGAAAATAACCGGCAGCAAACACGTTCAAGTGATGGTAAAGAACAGAAGTGAGTAATTTTACTTGAGAAATTGCCAAAACTAATGAATGGGCCATACTTTTGTCTTGAAGACAGGTCATATTGACATTATACTATTACAGAACTGAGACAGATGCTTTTAGACAAAAGGGGCGGAGTTACATGTTTGTGTCAGAAGTTTAGCATAGCGTGGATGGATCTAAAAACAACTCGAGGTCTGTTTTTAAAGAGAGAACAAGGCTGTAACATGGTTAAAAAATAGAAAAAGTTGATTGGCATCACGTGACTCCTTTAAAGGTCTTTGTTGGGTCTTGTTGTCTTGACATTGGTCTTTTGTCTCAGATGAAGAGGCGCGTCTGATCTGCAACGCTTTGTTCCCACATCTGAACTCTCCGTGGGAAATCTGGTGGACCATCGACGGCAAAACTGTGGAGCAGCTCAAAGACCCACGCTTCTCTAAAACAGCCAGGTACAAATTAATCCTGGATGCATTACAAACTATTGCTTTATACTTTTTACAAGGTGAATGCAGAATGAAACTATGAGTATTAAAGCTGGAGTACCTAACTTTTAAACATGTTTCTCAAATCTCAATCTCAAAACGATTCTATCCATATTTCTTCATAAATCTTTAGGTACATGTATCTGTAACGTCAGTCACTTATTTAGATTAGCTTTTTCTGACAGGAAGGTGAAAAAGAGAGGACCACTCTGACCCAGCCAATCAGCTTTCAGCCCAATGCTTAAATTATTGCTCACAATGCAAAAAATGAAAAGTTTTCTACCACGGTGAAGACAGCATCTTGTGGCCTTATTTGTTCATACAATTTTACTTTTACATTCTGTTGGGTCAAAAAACATGTATATTTTAAGAAACAAAAGAAGTCACGTACCCCAGCTTTAAGTATCATGACAGAAGTTTGAAATGAGTGTGACGTCTGCAGTAAGGTGAAGGAGGACCACGGAGACCGCACGGAGCAGAGCGTCCTCCTCATCCAGGACTTTCAGGCCGAGGATCTGCGTAGAGAGTTCAACTGCTCCGTGAAGAACAACATCGGCAACGAGACCATACGCGCCCAGCTCAAACTCGAGGGTGAGGAGCCTGCAGCATCACTTATGAAAGACTGTCTATGTACATGTTACGTAGGTCAGTTCATATCTACTGCTATTAGTATTAGTGTATGGAATTTTTAACCAGGAAAGTTTAACTGAGATTTCAGATTTTCTTTTTCAGAGAAGTCCTGGTCGTAGAGAGAGAGGGCTATTGACTATTGTTTTTGTAGTGGTAGCAAAAACTTGAGCGCTCGGAGAAAATCACAGAAAAAAATAGTGACAATCTTTAAAAAGTAAAAAAAATAATACAAACATACATGATGTTGGCCTATAGAAAGGACATAAGCATAATATGGCAAGTCTGAGAGAGAAAAAATAAATTGAGTTGTATCTGCCTTCCAACTGAAATAGAAATCTACAACATGAAAGCTGTGGCTTCAAAAGTGTGTTACCAACATCATAAGTGAATAAAAGATGCACAAAAGTGTAAAGTGTCTTTGAGAACTTCCTTGATGTATTTCAGCTTTGGTATATTCTGTCATTTCAAGAGACACATTCAAAGACAATTTCAGTCATTTTGATTATTGGAGATAAATGAGACCCATTTGGCCATAAATACATTTGACCAGCAGTTGTGTGCGTTCAAAGAATATATTTTCATTACGTTACAAACACATTTGGGCAATGCAGTTTAATTTATAAGAAATCTCTTTATTTCATGAAATTGCTTAAACCTGGTTTCACTCGGTCTTGTAGCCTCCCTGCCGTCTCTGGAGCTGGGCTGTGGCCTCGGCGTCATACTCTTCCTCATGCTGCTCCTCTTCATCATTTATCACGTGTTTTGGCTCGAGCTGCTGCTGATCTACAGATCCTGGTTTGGCACAGACGAACGACACACAGGTCTGTACTTCAGAGGACATTTACACACACGAGCGAGTGACAGGACTTTAAGAGCAGACACCAGATTTATGATGCACTATTCTCATGGCTTTCAGCTTCCTTTCAGCTATAAGCTTTTTAAGAGGCTATAAAAAAATCCTTGCAAATTTACGTCCCCAAAGATGCCTTGTCATTTTCTTCTGTATATTTATTTGATTTTTTGAAACTGTCCTAACTTTTACACCCAGGTTACATAAAGTCTCCATTTCTACAAACTAGTCTATCTTTCCCCTCAATATCCCCCATAGCTTCCTGCTCAAAAGAACACGTATATAGGTTAATAATAGGTTTCTTTCATGTTCGTCTTGTTTGCAGACGATAAGGAGTTCGACGTGTACATCTCGTACGCTCGAAACAGCGAGGAGGAGCAGTTCGTTCTGTCCACTCTCAGAAGCGTCCTGGAGAACGAGCTGGGCTACTCCGTCTGCATCTTCGATCGGGACAGTTTACCTGGAGGAAGTGAGTGTGCGAGCTAACTGAGCTGGGTTTTAACACCTCAATCACCCATTGTCCCGTTTGCATACTGTATATAGCACTGATTGGATTTGTGGCTTGAACTATACACCATAATAATAATAAGAATAATAATACCACAAGACTTAAACACACAATATACAGAGATCTAAACTCTATCTGCAATAAAATCAGACTTTTCCTCAGTGCTATAAATATTCTTTCATCCCTCCATTTGAGTCATTTCGTGCACATAAAGATGGACTGGTTGTTTTCAGGAGATAAATAATAACGTCTAACAAAGAATATGGCTCTGAATAGATTTTAATTATACAGTTTTTGCGTAATTGTAGTTATTTTACTCTTACCAGATGTATGATTCTAATGCAAGACACAACAGAAAGTGTGCTCTCTGTGATGTTGGTATCTGGTAAAGCTGGGGTAGCTAGATTTTGAACCCCAGACGGTTAAACCTGTATTATTAAAGAGAAATGTGAATTTGTGTTCTGCAGGTTTGATATAAAATCAAACTATCCAAAATTATAAACTCTTTAGTTTGGTTACAGTAAGATTTCACATAAATGTCATGTTTTGCCTCTGTCCGCTTTTTCAGACAGAACAATAATAAAAGAGATCGAGGACCACTCAGCCAATCAGCTCTAAGCCCAAAGTGCCAAATACTAGGGCTCTTTCTCACAAGTGTGCACAGGATCAAAAGTATTGTGATAAGATGAATACACAAGGCCTGTTTTGTTCACAATATTCAGATTCTGTCTCGTCCCAGCAAGACTCTTTCTGTTGGAACAAACACCACGTATTATTTATGAATAGATAAAGTTAGGTACCCCAGCTTTAAGTATATAATTATATCTCCCCAAAACACAAAACCCAGTCCATCTTTACACCCTCCATTCTCCATCACCCTCACCCATCCCTCTCTCCCGCAGCCATCACAGACGAGACCCTGAGTTTCGTGGCACGCAGCCGGCGCCTCCTGGTGGTGATCAGCCCCGGCTACGCCTCACGGGGGTCCCAGGCGCTGCTGGAGCTCAAGGCCGGCATCAGCGGCATGGCTCTAGGGGGTCACCTGCGCGTCATCCTGGTGCAGTACCGGCCCGTGAAGAGGCAGGCGTGGGTGCGGGAGCTGCGGAGGGCCCGAGTGGCTCTGGCTCTGGTCCGATGGCAGGGAGACAAGTCCAAGGAGCTGACGTCGAGGTTTTGGAAGAGGCTGAGAGTGGAGTTGCCATTGCAGAGACAAAGCGGAGGGAAGGACGTGGGGCTGATGAGGCTGAGCAGTCAGAACAGCACCAGCTCCCAAACCGGACTCATTTCACAGACGAGCAAGTCGCCTCTGGACGTGTACAACTATGCGGCGTGACATCATCCCAGCTGCTGTTTACTGCATTTGCACCTGCGTCTGAAGTCCCTGCATAACTGTGGCTTTACTTGCATCTTAACTTGTTTGCCTTAACACAAAATCTATATGCAAAATTGACTTTGTTGGGCTTTTAACCATGTTACAACCATTTTCTCATCAAAGTCACACCTGGAGTTGTTTTTACCTTTATCTCTAACCTTTTTCACAGAGAGAGCTACTTTTCAGGACTAGAATGAGACAGAGCTAGATCTCTAAGCATCAGGGGAAAAAATAGTCTATTGAATGGAGAGAGCAAGTCTTGGGTGGGGTACTCTTATTGTCAACAGTCATTATTTCTGATTTGTTACAGTTTTAGTTTTCATTTACTAAAGTTGTGGGCATGTGAATCATACTTATGCAATCATCCATCCATCCATTTTCTACCCTTTAATCCATTTCTGGGTCAGGGGGGTGGCAGTCAGAGGTGCCACCCAAGTCTTATGCAATCATATTTATGCTAAATGTATGCTAAATATTTTTTGGGAGCTACTTGGAAAGGGTGGTGAGTTACTGATTGAGACCCCTGATCTATACTATTATGACCAACTTCTGGCTCATATCATCACCCCCGCAGCATCTGTCCTAATGCTTCATCAAACTTGGTACTATGACTGTTGGTCCAATCTGCATGTTACAGCCGACTCCTGTCAGAAGCTAAGTAGGGCAGGACCTAGTAAACACTGTGGTGGGAGACCTCTGAGAACAGCTTTAAAGGGCCAATCTTGTTGGCATTCAGTGGTGGTAGGCTGTTTAGTTTAGTTTATTGTGGTGTACAAAGTGAATTAAAATAAATGTCTTTGAATGTCTAAAAAAAAACATAAAACCAATGCATCTATTTTAACATCCTTAGACTATGGCTTCATGGACAGCAGTTTTTCTTTCTTTTATAAAGAAAATGTCTCTAGATTCCAATTTATTTGAAATTCAAATGACATTCATTAAAGCTGCCTATATCACTTTGCATCATATTATATTTGTATGAGAATGTCATTTTCCCCGTCAAGCACTAGATTGGGGGGTTTCACAAGTCCAGGTCATTTCTTTTATCCATGAATGTAGTCTTTGTCTGAACGTCTTAAGAAATGTTTTCACATGATTCATTTGTGGAGATTAAAAACGGGGTTAAGGGTTAAAAAGACCTGTCCATTTACACTTGGGCAGACTGATATTTACAAGTACAATTATTGGTGTACCTAAAACATGTTTTTTAGACATTTTAATGGTATCAAATATGTTTCAGATAATTCCCAAGTTGGCCAGACAATCCCTCACCTTAAAAGATATAAGCACAGATAAACTTCATGCCTTTGAGATATTTTCTTCTCATTTAATCGTTACTTTATATTGTATGTGTCATACACGCTGCACACTGGCTGAACTCTTCTGTCTTTGTCTATACTCATTTGTAAATGGCACTGTAGAGATTTCCTGGATGCACTGAACCGGGACCATATAATATAGACTTTGCACTCAACTTCATACGTGTCTTATTTACACACTGTTTAATAAATCTAACCGTTTATGAGGCACTTCCAATTTAACTTAATATAAACCAGACCTTACTCATTTTGATTTCACGAGTGAGCTTGCTGTTACTAAATGTATGTTTGTTTTTGCCAAACAGATAATATGTATAATTTAACACTTTCAGTATAGCACCTTGGCTTCATTGGTGGAAAAATATGGATATCATTTCTGTATGTCCAAAACCACTTTTAGTTGTGTTTTAGTGTGTTCAAAATCGTTAAACAATTACGGCTAGACTCTGGACTCTCAGACTGATGCTTCAAAAATGGCTAAAGCTGAGAAAACTGGATGGATTGTTATATAATCAGTGTTGTATTTGTTTTAACTAAAAGCCATTGTCCATAATGACTGCACTTTATGCTTTGAAAGAGTATTGGACCAAATGTATTCAACCTGTGTTATGCAAACAGTGTTCCATGACTTCCATTGTTACGTGAGAGCTCTGTTTACCACTGGAATAACCTTTACACTTTACATTTCTGCCAAGTCTGTTGTTTAAAAGATTATTTGTTTTGTACTACAGTGTCATACTTTTGATAAACTCACTCGAATGCCTTGTCAATAAATGTTTCTGGTCAAATTCATTTCAGCTCCATCCCATCTCGTACATCTCATACTCATGTTTTCAGTGACACATGTTAACTCTTTCTTATCATGTTTATTTACCTTCAGTGTGTGAGCTGCCATCTTGATATTGTAGCATATGTGTGTTGAATGTTTTACAAATAGGACAAATGATGTTCAAAGTAACCTTAAAACTGCAGTCTCAATTATAAAAAGCAGCACTGAATGTAACCCCTATGGTGAATACATTCATATAAAACACTAAGAGGTTGTTAAATGTGATGTCACATGCCAGTGTAGTTTGGGAAGAAGTAGCTTATAGTAAGGACAATAGCTGATTTGTAATTAACCTTTTAGCGCAAGAATCTTTTTTTTTTCAGAAATTGTCGGTGAAAAAGACAAAAGCTGGAGCCCCAAAGCTTAATACAGAAAGTGTCCTGGATTCAGAAGTGAACATCTTTAGGCCAAGCAGAGAAGTGTTGTGGAAGCTAGTGACTACGTTAAAGATACATTGATTAAAAACATACATTTAAATATGCTGAAAAGGGCTGAAAAACATAAACACACAATATCACAAAAAAGCAAACAAAACACACAACATAAATAACAATTAATACATGTGACCAAGTGTCTAATATAATAAAACCATAAGACTTTATCAAGTACATTTGACAGTATTTATTCAATAAGGCTCCATAAACGAGTCGCACATTAAAATAGCAGACAGCTAGTAGGTAAATTCAGAAACTAAGTTAAAACCTGGGTATCGTCAAGATATGGTCCAAATTAATATAAATCAAATCAAAATCAAATATATTTACAACTCAAAATCACAGCAAACCAAAACAAAATGGCCGTTGAAAGCAGCCCAAAGAAAGCAAACCCTGGACCACATATTAACATAACCCACTGTACATTGGCCCTGAAGCAATAACTAGGTCCAACTTGCGGGAAAACTTGAAAAAATGTTCAGCAATAGAGACGGCAAATATAATCTGCGAGGTCCAATGAACTTTAAGAAACAAATTATAAGTACTACCCTAAAAAGCATGTTCATCACTCGCCGCGGGGTTGATTTGTGGAATGAACTCGAGGAGGACTTGAAATGTTGTAACTCACTGATTAACTTTAAACAAAAGTACAAAGAAAAGGTATTTAGTAACTATGCTATAGAAAATGAAGTGTAAATCTATACTACAAAAAACTATTCTTTGACTCTGAATTATATTTGTTTTTTTTGGTATTTTGTGTATATATATATATATATATATATATATATATATTTTTTTTTTTTTTTTTTCTTCTCTCTCCTTTGCTAGATCTTTGTTTGTTTTCTTATTGTACACGCAACTTGTGTTCTATGATGTATGCATTTAAATTAACTTTACCACTGTCTGTAACAACGCAATTGTTGTCAAGAAAAAGAATATGAGAAAGGGGTAAGCATTAACAAGTTTTATACTTCTGCTTACTCCTTTTGAGCTTTTCTGTGTGCCTTGCTTTATCATTGCATACAGCGCAAATTATGCCTGTTTGTTCATTGTTTTTTTTATGTCTTTTTACACAAATAGCTCAAATAAACTAAATGAAAAAAAAAAAAAAAAAAAAAAAAAAAAGTGGCTGACTAAAAACTGCAGCAGCATGGGCACTATAAAACAGTAGAAAATAGAACAGTGTATACAAGAATACAAGAAAAGTTTATAAAACACAACATTCACATATCTAAGAATAAATACCTTTGCACAAATGTTCACCATTATTAAATGCTACTACAATCAGTTGAGGCCTGCAGGTAGCTGGGATCTAAATGGACATTGAGAGCATTACTTTAATGTTGAATGTAATAAAGTCTCTACTTTAGTTCATTCAACTGGGATTTACCTTTTAGTTTAGAGTCAGTAACCAGTGCATCAGTCCATACATGCAGAGATCTGCTGGTGGCTGGAAACTTTATAATTCAGTCTGCACATCCAGGTCAGAGCTCTCAGTAGTAGGCCAGAGTGAAAAGACAGAGATTTACCACTCTGCCCTCTTTAAAACCTTAGCCCCTCCCACCAACTTCCTGTTTCCTCCTCTACCCTTTCAGATACATGAAATACTATGATCATTTTTCAGCTCAGGTTGTGGCAAAGGCCGAGAACGGACCCGGAAGTTCAGCTGGTGATGTCATTTCTTACTGTAACAATCTCGTTCATGATCTTCCACTCCCATAGTTCCGTTTCTAAATCCGACGTTTTGTTTGCATGCCTGTTCTGTCCCACCACAGATCCTTCCGAGTGCATTCTTCGCTCGATGCAGAGAAGCCGCCGCCTCCTCTTCGTCCTCAGCCCCGACTTCTTGGCCGAGAAGAGCTTCAGTCTGTTCGAATGCCGCTTGGGTCTGTACCTGGATCATTCAGCCAAGACCAACATCATCGCCGTGGGGTACCGCTCCGTCAGCAAACTCCCTTGCGTGGAGGTGGCTCAGATCCGCAAAGCCGCCAGCGCTACAATCACATGGAGAGGAAAACGCTCTGAATCGCCGCGCTCCCGATTTTGGCTCCGTGTGCGACTGGCGCTACCCGGGCGGCCGTTAGCGCTGGGTCGTAGGATGATCGACAGCACCTCGTCGCATTCGGATTTGGCCGCGTTCATGCTCCAGAAACACTACACAAACAAAGAACAACACAATCACAGAAAAGCGCAGAGGAAGTCGATAGGTAATCAGAGCAGAGGGAGCGGGCGGGCTTCGACCAATCCCAGTCTGCGTAGAGACAGGCAGGTGGTGGTTACCGAGGCGAGAAAGAGATGCTCCGGTTGGGTCGAAGTGGAAAACCAGGAAGTAAGGAGTGTCGATGAACGAGAGCAAACAGTATTCACAGAGCAAGCCAATCAGGTGGACTGTGGTGCTTCTAATCCCTCCCCTTTGCGTGACATCACTGATAACACCGTGCAGCAAAATGAAGCAATGCCTGCGCCTGCCAATCAAACTGATCTTTCAGCAGATCTGATTGAAGAGAGAAGTTGCGATCGCGATGAAGACGAATTTTGCGATCAATCGGAAGAGAAACCAACACTGGGTCATCCACCTGTCCCCTCGAATGTATCAAACTTAGCCAATGGTGAGTGTTCAAATCCACCTGGTCCCGCCTCTTTCCCTGATTTGTTGGAAACAAATCAGGCGGTCCTTATTACAGGCTCTGCTCACGATCACAACCGCATCCTTTCGTCCAAGTCCTCATGCGCGATTATCACAAACTTACCCCAGAGTTTAAACTGCAAAGACCCGGACGCCACCCTCTCCTCTGACTCCGCCCCTTTCACAGACTCCGCCCATTCCGAATGTCAACAGGAAGTGGAAGAAACGCGCCAAACCAATACTGTAGCGTGAGCCGGTAAACGGACTGATCAGAGAACCTCAAATTTGGGAAAAATCCGATCAAAATTCATCAAACTCAGAACAATAGTCTAACGGAGGGGTATTCAACCCTGTCCTGTGCAGCGGCAGGTTTTCAATCCAACCAAGAAGGAGCACACCAGACGCCACCCATTTCCTCAGGTTTCTAGCTGGACTCCCTTAAGGGAAATGGACGGAGTCTGCTGTGCTCTTGCTTGGTTGGAATGAAAACCTGTTGTTGAGAACCCCAGGGTTAATGTTTACAAAACTCAAAGGGCCCCCATTTTTTCCCCCACATTTTATATAGTTTGAGTATTTCTATAGAAGATACAAAATTACCGCTGCCTGCCATGTTGTGAGAAGTGTAGTCCCGTTTTTAGCTCACATTTTCTATTTAATATTTTATTTTACTTTGTTCCATTGAATATTGCTACAATCAAAGCATATAGGAAACAGTAGCGGCGCCAGGTTTGCAATTTTGGGTAGGCCTGCAGATTAGTAAGTAGGCCAAATTCGCTTGCAAACTTCAAAGGCTAGCTGGAATTGGGGTTTCAAAGAATATGGCTCAAACGCACACACGCACGCACACGCACTCACGCGCGCACATACACACAAGCTCATTTATGAAACTTGCGTAGAAAAAGGTGTACATTTTGGGTGTATATTCCATTTACGCAAAATCCACTGTCGGATTTATGAACATGTGAGATCCGCAGTTCTGAGCGTACGCAGCTGCGGGTGTTGATAAATCGACTAAATACGAAAATATTTATGAAAGTCACACCTAGAATTATGCAGCAATCGCGTGTTTCACGCCACGTCTTCGTGACAGGTCAGCAGGAAGCCGGCCTAAAAGACTGTTTGGAAGCCTCAAAAGGCACGTTTGTTTGTTCATGTTTATGTAAAAATAAATATACTCTATATATTCAGCTGCGTTTTGAACAAATTTGCTAAAATGTTTTGATACATTAGAAAAATCTCTCTTGAATTGTAGAAGTGAATAAATATAGATTGATTGAATGAATGAATAATTCATATTTATTATGCAGCGGTGGCTCTGAATGAAGCGTCTGCAGCGTCTTGGACGCAGCCTGGCTCGGGGTAGAAGTGCGCATTGAAGCGCTGTACACTTCAGAGAGCGTTTGCGGTCCAGATTTCACAAAGAAACTCTGGAGCCAAAACTTCTGCACATGTGGCGCGACCTCTCACGGCACTCGCTGCGCACTCTGGACAGGGCAGTGAGACATTTGTGAGTGAGCAATACCATCGATGCGTTATTGGGGTGTGTGTCTGTGTGAGGGTTACACAAATCTAATGAAATAACACATTGCTTTACCAGATGTGAATGAGGAATACAAATAGCCGTGCATAATTACGCAGCGCAGAGCCTGCCACAGCAATAGATGGGTCACACATCCCTGTTGCGTAAAGTGTATTTATATAGAGCCTTTGACTGTCCAGGATCACAAAGCGCTTCACATTTTAAAAACATACAGATCAAAATAATACACACACAAGTCAGATTTAATAGAAGGTTCTCATCATGAGCTGTGATTTATTCGAAGTTTGCGTGTTTCCATTAGACTTTTTCTGATGCGCAAATTTAAATTTTGAAACACGATCCTCAATGAAAACACAGCATATAATTTTGCCAGAGGGAATATGTTTATTGTTGTCCATATCTTGAATTTCATGCGTGTTTTGGCGTGTTGTGCCGAAGGTTGAGATCAGCGTATAGATTTACACCACCTCCAGACCTGGTGTATATTTTGTGCGTATTGTACGCTCACGTCCAGATAGATAAATGCGGAAAAGTGTAATATTTTGCGTACGCCTCATTTACCCTGATTTGGCCGTACGCAGGTTTCATACATGAGGCCCACAGTGAGTCTCACACAGGCCTAGAGTTTACCTCATCAGTGCGAGGCGAGCCTGGCCTGACCCTCCTCCTCTGGGACCTACGGGACCGGGCCTCTGGCTCCTCTACCTCACAAAGTTCACGCTGAACTGTCTTAAAACTAAAATGAAAAAGGCTGCTCTGTTGTGAATGTTTTGAGAGCGTTGTCAATCTTTAAGACGAGGAATAGCTGGTTGTTCTCGGGAACGAGCTTCAAGCTGTGTGATATGATATTGGACAAAATTGTTCAGCCAATAAACAGGACTATATTTGAAGCAACGTAGGAACGTGATGACGCTCAGGGGGTTATATTTTCTTAAAACATTAGAACGCAACATTTAGGCATTACCAATAATTTGTGTATAAAAATAACAATATTTAAATTATGACTTTTAATAAAAAAGGCTAATGACTTGAGAGGCGAAGAACAAATTTGAGTAGGCCAAGAAAAAAACTGGTAGGCACCGGCCTACCCAGGCCTACCCCTGCCGCCGCGGCTGATAGGAAAAAGCAGGATTTTTGTATTATTGGAAAACACATGTTATTTAAATGTTGAGCTCAGTCCATCAGCATGCATGAAAGCCTTTTCTTCGGGTGACCATTCAGACCCTTTCATTTTTGCAGCCCCCGGGTGAATATGAATACCTTTGAAATGATCTGATTCATATTTATTGTAGCTAAATCAGGAATAATACTAACTGTTAAACGTGTTCCATTTAAACTTACATATTTATCCGACTAGAGACTTATATCTGTATATGTCCCTTGTGCATGGGTCACGTAGAAGTGTATTTAGGAGGCATGTTTTTGTATTTTTATACCCTATAAAAACAATAATATTTACACCAATCATTGTCGTAAATGTCGTCAATTCACTTTTTTATCTTATTTTTTTTTTCCAGTTTTTCTTAGAGAGAAACTGCAGTGCATTTGGTCATGTCTGTTTCTCAAATGAGTCTCAGCAGGTGTCAGTGTGGGACCAGTATTATTTCGAATCAACTCAAACCATGAAAGCAAGAAAGAAGAAATGAGGAGAAACAAATAAAAGATGCAATTACGTCGTATTACCAAGTACAGATCTGTTATCATGTATCCCGAAAGAAGCCATTCAAAGATTTAAGGAATAATAGAAAAAAAAACAAATCCAATGCTCATCACTGTGATCTGCTGCTATGTCCACTCTTTGTAGTGATGACACAGCGACAAAGAGCTAAACCAGGAATAACAAAACCCATACCGAGCTGAAACCAAAAATAATTAGGGCAAAATTAAGTGTGAATCAAAAACAAGAGACAGAAGGAATTTCAACCTAAAACATCCTGTTTCAATATTTCCAATAAGAAAGATTGATTTGTATAATATTTCTAGCATATGAGCGATCTGTCTGTAATAAACCCATATTTACTAAAAAAAAAATCTTTTACATTAGATTTTAACTTTATACATATAATCTATTTTTGTTTATTTTCTCCATTTCTCTTATGTTTTGTTCAAATAGCGTTTATTGATGAACGTATGACTGCAAAAAAACAAATAAAACATAAATTACAAAAAAAATAAACCCATATTTGGTAGTAAATTCCTATTGTGTGTGTTTGAGTTTGGACACAATGTAAATTATTTGAAAGTACACCATCTCCCTACTTGATTTCAGTTGTGATGTCACATGTATGAAGGCGTGTATAAGCGTGCGTCCTCTGCCCTCGCTCTGATGACGGGGTGTGGGTGTTCGTGGACTCGGGTTTACTGCGGATTTCCTCCAGAACAAAGCCGTGGTTGCGTTTCTTTTTAGGAAAGGCGGCCGGTGGGCGTTGGGTCTGGTTTTGTTCAACCCACTGACCCTTGTCTCAGCTTTGACACGTTCTACAGGGAGACATTAAAACAACACGGGTCACATTGCCTTTGAATATACGCCTTTAAATGCACAAGACCCGATAGTATAGGCTTCCACCAGCAGGTAGTTCTTATCAATGTGTTTTACGTTTCTTAGCTATTTATTTACAAATGACTAATTATTCCAACAGTTTTTAAGGTAGAACACTTAAAATAACACCAGTCAAATAATTGCTGTTGTTGTTTACTGTAAGAATTAATAATGCCATTTTCTTATTATGTAGTGTTTTTTCACAATTTGTGTAAGACTAGCAGAAAATGCAGGGATGTTGTGAATGGATAAAATGTTTAGAAAAGCGTTTAGGGTTTAATTGATAATATAAACTATACATAACATAAATTGTCATGTATTTTTTCTATGTTCTGTTTTGGGATTTCTGCTAATAAGCTAAAGTAACTTCCAGCAGTCCTCTTCTACAAAGCTCTTACAAATCATAGGAAATAGTAAAGTGTATGGATTGTTATGAATATTTTGTAAATAGAGATAATTTTATTGAATTTAAAACATTTTCCTTTATAAATCATATCAAAAGTAACACAACACAAATCTGTATGTGTAGTGTACATTCAAATTGCATAAACAAAATGATCACCCATATTACTCCGGTTCAAAACTTTTGTAGACAATGAATTAGACGATCGCTACAACATCTTCTGTGAATGTTGAACAAAGGGTTGAAGAGATACTTTATTTGTCCCACAGTGGGGAATAGGAACAGTAGGAATGAGGAGCACACAACACAAGGTAAGAAACTCCATTATAAAATAAAAAATATCACTTTATATTTACACATCTTAGCATAACATTAGCATAATAAAGAAGCCGGTATAAAATCTCTAACTTTAGCATAATAAAAAGAAATAAGTAATCTTTATTTATATACCGCCTTTCACAGACCAGAGTCACAAAGCGGTTTACAATTGTTATTATTTTTGGGCACTTGTCCTCTCACTCTTCACAGAGATGGGAGCAGGGTCGCCGAACAGGAGGCGCATGCCAGAACTATTGTACATATTTTTAGTGGTAGGGGAAACCGGAGCACCCGGAGGAAACCTACGCAGACACGGGGAGAACATGCAAACTCCACTCAGAAAGGCCCTGGTCCGACCGGGATTCGAACCCAGGACCTTCTTGCTGAGAGGCGAGAGTGCTATCCACTCAGCCACCGTGCCGCCCATAATAAGTACTATTATAATCTTGACT